TGAAGAATCTTGGCCGGTAACAACCTTAAATTATTATTTTGTAGAAATATTTTCTTGTATATTTAACTTCATATATTCTATTGTATCTATTAGTTACTCAATAATATAATAAAACATTACATTTTAATATCTATTTTTTAGGGTGTAGCTAAATTGTCTGATTATGTGGTATTCAAAAAATTTCCAGCAATTCCTTTAAGAGAAATATTCACTGCTGCTCCAAATGAATTATTAGATGTAATTGGTGGCATGCTTAATGTAAATCCATTGATGAGACCTACATGTTCTGAAGCATTACAAATGCCATACTTTAGGTAAATATAGATTTCAAGATTTTTAACTGTTCAATGCATTTACTAACTTTTCATATACATTTTCAGTAATCGACCACCGCCTTCATTAGGTAGTCAACTACCAATACCGTCCTGTATCAGAGAAAGTAATCCAGAAGATCAGGATACAAAGGGACAAAAAAGGAAATTTACTGATTATTCAGAAGGAGGTAATTATGAATTTAACTAAAATACAAATGATTTTTTAAAATTTTAATGTCCACTAATTAAAATTATATTTAATTTTACAAATTATATGATTAAAAATTATGATTTGTTTTAGGTACACAACCAAAACGTTTAGTCTTTGATAACTTTGCATAAGTATGTTAAGCAAATCAATACAAAATAATTCCTTAAATTAACGTTGTATATTATATTTTTGTACACATTAAAATTAATTTAAATATCATCATCACTGTTATTATCACTGGTTATTATAGAAGGTATACATGATTTATCTGAAAGAACACCATGTTCAATCAAGAAGTTCTCTACATCACCTGCATAAAAGTCATCGCCTAGTTCGTCTGTAATCCGCACAAAGTTTCCAATAAGTTGTCCTGCCCTGTATGCGAGTAAAGCTGGAACACCACACATTTTGAAGTTTAAACTCATACCAGCACTTGAACCAATTAGTTTACAAAATTTTGTTTTTTGAAATTCATGGCATAGAACTTTCAAACATGAATTCATAATTGAACATGTTGGCACATTGTGTTCATAAACGTGCACAATCACAGTTACATAGGGATTTTCATTCTCAACTGCATTTAAAAAGTCTTCCCCGGTTAATAAATCAAAGACTTTACCAAATTCTGGTACTTCTTGAGTCTTAGCCATCATTTCCTTCATGCGTTTTTTACGGTATTCAGCAAGAAATTGATCATCCAATTCTTCAATTTCTGACTTGCATGTTAGAGCCCTATCATTTATCTGCTTTAATACATCTTTTTCTTGCTGTACTCTTTGAGCAGATTGTTGTCGTTTGTATTGTTCCCAATCATTCAGTACTCCTTTTGGTCCAGTGTTTGACGATGTTCCATCCCAGTCTGACTTTGATTGTTTGGGAGGATCTCTGTCGAGCATTGGTTCATCTTCATCACTGCTACTACAATAATAATGAAGTTTTTCACCCAGCAATTTACTTTCTAAATCTGTCATGGTGAATAAAGTAATAGAAAATCACTATATAACACTATTTTATATTAAAAATTGTGTTTTTATTGCTTTAATTCCAAAAACTTAGGTTCAACTATGTTAGTGCTACTTAGTACTTTCCTAGTGTCAAATATCAAGTATCAACTGTCAAGTAAAGTAAACACTAAACATTAATCAATACTCTTATCACAGTAAAACGGTAATACCATATATTAAATACAACTTTTATTTGTTTTGTGGTTGCACTGTATTTAAAAGATATTGATATTCGGTATTCCTATAGATATTATTACATATACGTTTATGGTTATTCTTTAATACTTATTACTTTTTTAATTTTTAAACACTTTAAGTCTAAAACCACAGCACACGTCATAACTCATAACTATATACTGGATTCCCGTACAATTTCATTTTTTTTATGGTATGTCCTAAATTCTATAAAAACAAACTAAAAATCAAGAGATGTAGATTAATTTAAAGAAAGTTTGATGTTGCACAAAATTGCATATTTCGGATTTTTTTTTATAAAAATGTACTAAATGGTACTTTCGTACAAATACTTTTGTTGTATAATCTATAATCATATCATATTATTACCATCAATACCATTTTTCTACTTTATTACTGCTCCATTGTGTTTTTATATGAATTATTGGACTTTAATATATATATAATTTATATCGATATAACATGACTTAATTATTAAGATAATGAGTAATGACTATAGATACTATGATTCGATTAATTATCAATATAAAATTATTACATATACTTACAGTATACACTATGACTATACAGCAACAACAGTAGGTACAGTACTGTAGTCTACCCGCAGCAACCGTAGTCAATTCGTGTTTTATACGACAATTTTATAGTTAACACTTATTACTTAATATCATTTAATTTAAAATGCCAAAAATTGGACATAATATAATGGAAATGTAAATAATTATCAATTTTAATCAAATATTGCAAAGTCGGTTATAATATACGCATATCTATTGTCAGTTATTTATTATTTTATTTAAAGTTTATATTTTTATTTAATAGATACATAAATAGTTAATGTCAACTAATAGGTAAATAATAATATTATTGAAAATAAAATTTAAAGTATTTATAATTAAAATTTCGTTTTTTCACAATTATGCAGATTTTTATACTTTAACCCCTTACTGCATATTGTACCATATGTGGCACATACTGGTTTTTTATTATTTGTGTCTAAAATAATTGAAATATTCCAAAACTGCATGCATGGCCAGATTCGGCACGAAAAGGCATATAAAAACTATGTAAGGTGCTGCCCTCTAGGATTAAAATTGTGCTGGCAATTACGAATAATATCATGGATATAATCATTATCATGTTATCAGTTGTGTTGTTGATTTCAAACAATGATAAGTCATTTTTAAACGTACGAATTTCGTTCAAAAAAATATGATCTCATTCAAAATTTTACGCTCTATCCAACCATGGTAAGTACATTTATATACATCAAATATTTGTTTAGATACAATCAAATTTGTATTTGTGCCAAATTTGGGACATCATGCACTTATGATTTCACTTTTGTGTGCTTTATAAATTATGTTGTACCTAGTATTCGAAATATTCATACAGTTTATTTTCCATTATAGGTGAAAATTAATTCGATTTCTTTTTATTCACGTGTGCAAAGTATACCTGATAGCAGTTCAGACTCTGAATGGTCTGATGATGAAGATTTATATACTTTACTTTATATACTTTTACTATATACTTTTTATTATTTAATTTTAACCAAAGGAGGTTCTCATTAAGAATGTAATCAAAAAGACTGAAGAAAGTTCTTATAATTTCTATGTATTTTATTATTAATTAATTTTAAGTAAAGAAAATTTAAATTTATGTTATCAATTCAAAATACTGAAGATACTATTTATTTTATTTATAATTTATAATTATAATTTTTTACCAAAGGAGGTCTCTTGTTATTAATATTTCATATTTGTTCAATTTTGTTATAATCATAATAAATTATTAATAAACATTTAATATTATGTTCTTTATTTATAGCTGCTAACCACATTATTGTAGTTAAGTATTCCAAAAACTTTGTGATACATAAAGCATAAAAAAAAATGTTGGTAATGGTAAATAATTTACCTACCAAGTATGGCACAATTACAAATGTTTATAATCATTGATACTGCATGGTGTGCCAAATATGGCACTTCCAAAAATATTGATAAGTGACTATTATGCATGGTGTGCCAAATATGGCACTTACAAAAGTATTGATAAGTGACTATTATGCATGATGTGCCATATTTGGAACACAATAAACTTTACCTTATAACTTCCAAACTTTGAACTTGAAATTTTTTTTATTATTTTTCCCACAATCAGGGGAAAATTTTAATGAAGTAGATTTTTTTCCAGTCAAAAATAAAAAATCATGCAGAAAGGGGTTAATTGCACGTATTGAGTGTTGGCTGCACAAAAATCCGGTCTTTACTCATAACCTTATTGTTCCACAATTGTTTTCCAGTCAACTTATTTCAATAAAATAAGTTTATATATTTATTTTTATTTTGTTACCCTTTTGTAGTTTGTTCCACGTTATTCATTTTATAAAACATTTGAAACAATAGTTATGGTAGATTCATCAATTTTGACATTTTTACCTAAATCCATTTAATATATTCTGTGCTAATTTATTTGAATTATTTCTATGGACTTGTTTAGAGTGCGCATATGTGATATTACTTGAATTCAACATATTAATATGTGTGAACTGTGAAGTGCAAGAATCGTGAGCCTTAGTGCTGAAATATGACAAAATTTCTACTTTTTAAAATTGAGCTAAAATCTACATTTGAATCAGACAGAACATACCATACCAGACATCATAGTTGTGAATATGTTTTAATGCTACTTTTTCAACGATTTTTTTAAAATAAATACTTGATCTTATAAATCTTATGATTAATCTAAGTGATTTATATCACCGTTAAATATAGGTACCTTTAATCTTCATGAGACTCCTTTCTAAGCATTGTGTTATTTAAAAACTAAATAACTCATTAAAAATGGTACATGCATAATAATGTATAGAAATCTACTGTATCAGTGGATAGACATAGCAAAATAACAAACTTTTTGTTTGGTACTCACATTTAAAATTTTTTATTGCAATATTACTGATTAGATATAATAACATAAATAACAAATATTTATATATAAATTTAAATCTGTGACACTTTATTACCTAATGTAATAGAAAAATTTATCAGCTAAAAGTTAAAAGACGAATTATATTATTCACTCTCTAATTATCGACAAAAGAGAGATCAGTGCTCCAGAATTTTTGACATTTATAAATAATTCAACGTAATTCCTTTAAAGAATATAATACATATATTATAATAGTAAAAATCACATTTATAATTCATAATTCTAAAATGTAACATAACTATACATTACCATTTTTTTAAACATTAAACATAAAAAATTAGATTCTTAGTAACTATTTAACATTTCTGTTTTAATTTTAATAATTTCCTGGGTTTGCTTAAATTTTTTAACTAAATCTTTAAATTGTGGACCATCTACTAGTTCATATTTATCTTGTAGTTTCTGCAATTCCTCAAATTTAGCTAAATCTGATTCATATGTTTTTACTTTAGCATTATAGTATTTTTCCAATGAATCAAATAATTCTTTTGAGCAAGAAAATTTATTAATAATATCGCTCTGCAACTTACTAAAAAAAAAAATTAATTAATTTAAAATTACAATTTAAAATTTATTTCTTACCTTGAATTAGCTTTAAGAGCATCTACTTTTTTTGATAAATTTTGGGCTTCTAAAATATTGATATAGCTACTATCTAATAATGTAAGTATAGAATGTTGTATCTCTTTTTGATTACTTGTATATTTATTCAAAAGAGTCAACATATTATTTAGTTTATTTTTAATAGTATCTGGCATAACTGGTTCAGATTCAATTAACTTTAACAAATCTGTAAAAACAATAATAAAGGTATTAAGATTTTTTATATTTATAATATACCTAGGTTAAATAAATTACATACCTGCGGGAACAGAATCTTTTTCTTTTGTAATCAGAGCACACTCTTTTTTTATACAATCTTCAATGCATTTATCAAATTTATCTTTTTCTCCATCTGAAAACTCCTTTATTTTATAATGCGACTCATCGTCTTTAAAAAGTCTATAATGAGTAGTTATATCTGAGCACTTTTTTCTCAAAACATCATCCTCGATATGATTTAACGAGTTGACGAATATGCGTTGTTTAAGAGCTTCTAATTCATTAAACTTTATCTCGTTAATGGTTTCTTGTTTATCGTAAGATTTTTGTTCAGGAACATGATCTCCGCGGATCATTTTTTCGAATTTTTTCATTTTAAGAGACATATTATCAAAAATTAGTTTAAAATAATTATGTAGACTAAAAAATTGTCACACTAAAACAAATGTTTTATTTAAATAAACTCGCAGTATAAAATTTAAAAACTTGAAATTCTTAACAGCTAATGTAAGTGATAGAAAATTGAAATTCAAAATTTTAAATCGTTTATTTATTTTTACAAAATTTAAAGATAAATAATTGATAATATAACAACAATTTATGTATGCTTGGCGCTTGCTAAATACAAAGCTATCTCAGATCTTTATGCTTTTATCCATGAAGTACAATAATATTATTATTATCATAATATCATGATTCATTCCAAGATCTTAGTAATATATTTTCTTTTTGTGTAGATCATTGTAAATATAAAATAATACTTTATGGTGTATAATGTATATATTGAATGGCATACTGAATTCTTAATTTTTAATATTTTTATCATTGGTAGTTGGTAGTGTTGATGTACGGTGTGTTGTCTGTGTTGGCGAGTGGGTTGTAAATTGAATATTGTAAATTGTAATTACTAATATTTCGATCGTGGTCGTATGTGTTGAATTAAGAATAATCTTTATTCCCTATAATTTTTAACTTTAACTTTTATAATAAACCATTATTTCCGTTGAAAATATTGTAAGCAATTAAATCGATTATTTAATTTATATTTTTTACAGTTATATAATAGATTAAGCATTGTTATTGAAATATAAATGACTAATGTTTAAATAATAATGTGCTTTTCTGTTGTTTTTTTTTTTTTTAAGATCTTTTAAAATGGAGAACGTCTTAGAAAAACAATTATTGAAAGTTGCAGAAACAATTGAGCAAAAGCTTGATCAAGAAATACAGAAACTTGATGAGTTAGATTTAGATAGTATTGAAAATATAAGAGAACACCGCTTGCAACAAATGAAAAAAATGATCAAACAGAAAGAAGAGTGGTTGGCTAAAGTAAAATTATATCATGTATTATCTTTATTTTACTTTATTTGTAAAATGTGTTTCTCAGGGACATGGAGAATATGAAGAATTAAGTGACGAGAAAAGTTTCTTTGAAAAATCAAAACTAAGTCCAAACATGGTGTTACACTTTTATAAAGATGGATCGACTCGATGCAAAATAGTTGATCATCATTTAAAAATATTATGTGCACAACATCTGGAAACACGTTTTGTTAAACTAAATGTTACACGTTTTCCTTTTCTGACAGAACGCATGAAAATTCGAGTCATACCAACTATTGTGTCAATAGTTGATAGTATATCCAAAGACTTTATTGTTGGTTTTACCGAGTTGGGAAATTGTGATGATTTTTCAACTGAGATGTTGGAATGGCGTTTAGCACGTTCACAAGTTATTGATTACAAGGGTGACTTACTTAATCCACCAGATGTAGTCAAGAATAACCGAACAATGTTATTAGAGAAAAATAAAACAATAAGAAGTTATACTGGAGATGACTCAGATGGTCTAGATTCAGATTAATCTAGTGTGAAATATTAAGTTAATATACTAATCCTCTAATCAAATGATAAATTAATGTTTCCTAACACTTTTAAATTATAATTGTTAATGTTACTTAACCGCTTCTATAGAATATTTTATACATTCCTATGAGGTTTTTTATACATTAAATATAAAAGTAAAATTTTTATTTTATTCTTAATAAAATTTGAAATTATTTATTTTTCTAAGGTATTTCAAAATATTCATTTATAAGTTACTTTGTTCAGTATATACAAATAACAGTAATCATCTATCTTAAAAAATAACTTATTGAATAGCACAATGTACATTTATTTATGTATCTTTCATGTTCTTTTTTATTTTTACCTATATTTAAACCTTTTAAAAATACTTTCTAGGATATGTTAAAAAAAAAAAATCATACTAATTTAAAAGTTTATTTTCCAACTAAATATAACACACTGCCACATGAGTAAGATTAGTGTATTTTTTAGTAATGATTTTATTTTGTAATACTTAAATACTTAATGATTTTTCTATGTTTTCTAGATTATATTAAAACAAGTTAGAAGTATATAAGTTTATAACCGTCTTTAAATTAGTTTTTGTATTATAAATTTAAAAGTTTACTTGATTATTTTTTTATTATTAAAATATTTAATATATTACATTTTTTATTTCTTATTTGTTTTAAAAGTTAACTGAACTCTGCCCTTACTATTTATAATTTGGTTTTTATTCCTGGTTATTAATTTTATTTTTATTTTTTTATGTTATTAGAATTAACACCAATTTAAGATTTTTTAATAGTATATTATGTTTTTTTCAAGAATATAAATATAAAAGTAACAACATGATAATAGTTATTCAACTTAGGTCTAAACTGAGTTAGCTTGTGTGACAATGAAAATAAACATAACATCATTTGTTGCTGGATGAGAAACATGAAATGTATACTTCCAATTTTAATGGATTCAAACAGAAATATCTTGTTTAGATACAATTGCATTAATTGTCCAAATAAAACTTCTATGGATGCAAGAAATTAGATAATAATAAAAAAAAATCATTTAATGAGTATATTTTCAAATTAATAAATACATATTATCTTAATGATAGCCTTTAATAGCACCAATAATTATTGTATTGTTGATTTAAATGGTTGTTACTAAATTTACTATTTGTCAACTCAAAGGTTATTAAATACATTATCGAATTTATACAATTATGTAATTTTTAAGGTGATATGAATATGTAAAATACTGAAATAAAAAAAAAAAATAAAACTTACAACAACACAACCAGTGCCATAACTTTTACCTGGATAGCCAGGACAACGCCATGCTTTGGGAAAACGGTCTTTCGACTTTCTTACAATGTATGTAGCTCCTAATTAATATTTATAACTTGAAACTTATAATTTATGTATATGTATTGTCATGGATTGTCTTACATTTTATTTAAACTGGTAGTAACTCGAAAGGTACTCTGCAATAAAATAAATTTAAAATTATTTGTTTTATAAATAATAAAATTTCAGATAACCAGATCAATAGAATTATTTTAATATAAATTTTAAAAGTGCTTCAAAACAATTTAAACCATATCAATGTGCGGCAGTTCTTCCCTCCACAGATAACAGCCCGAACCAGTTATTCACCTGGAAGAAATGATCTTTTTAGTTTACAACGTTCACAACCATGATACAAAACGAATATAATCGTATTAAAATTTTAAATGCTAACCCCAAAAACAAGTTATCATAACTTTGTGCCGTGCCATTTATTGACGCTATAATATAAGTAAAACAATATCAAATAATAGTAATAATACAGTTGAGTGTTTACAAATTACTGAATTTCATAAAAGTTTTTATTTTTATAACGAATTATTTCGAAAAAGTAAAATGTATAAAGTTCCTCAAAAAGTACAGAAGGTTATGGTACAACCTATTAACCTTATCTTCCGACACTTGCAAAATCGTGCTAAAGTACAAGTAAGTTATTTAAATGTAGTGAATTAACATGTTACAATAGTGGCGTATTTACTATTTACGAGAGCAGATGAAAGATAAATTTGTCCTTTGGAAAAAAAGTTACCTTACGTCCCGGTACAATGAAACAAATTTTATAACTTAACTGTTGTCAGCAGAACTGATAAATGTTCTGATAAACCGTAAACAATTTATGTTGCTTTAAGTCAGTTATATTTATTCCTTACTTTACCTGATGATCACCTATCAAGTTTTCTTCAAGTATAAGATCTATTAAATGTGTATTTAATCATTGTCAATAATTTCACTATAAAGATTTTTATATTCTATTATGATTATATTGACATACTGTCATCTAACTATAATTTATTTGTTTAAATCAAGCTAGCATTTATGATGTGTGTATTTTTGTATAATGTTTCAACAACATTGTTTTGGTCCAATGAAAAGTCTTATGATCTAAAAGTCAGCAAGACCCAAATATAATTGTCAAAATTGAAAATAACTAATTTAATCAATAATAAACATGATTATATTTTTGTCTTAATGAGATATAAATTTATTTATAAGTTATAACAACCTAAATTTAAATATATATTACCTTTCCTTTATTTTCATCTTTCCATTTTGTTGATTCTACAACAATTAAAACATTAATGTTTTATTTTTCTTAATGAAAAATATAATTTGTTCAAAAACAAAGTTGTTTATTATTCAAAAATGTCCTGGTTTTTACCTAAAGTGTATTATAACACCTTAAGTAACGATCCTTTTTTTTTGTTTAATACATACTAAATTCAGTATTTTTTATATTGTTATATTTTCTAATGCTTTAAAATATTTTAATATCTACTCCCTTCAACAAATTGTAAATATTTAATGAAAATATTAAAGTTAATTATATATTTCTATTATAGGTGTGGCTTCAGGAAAAAATTCATTTAAGAATTGAAGGACATATCGTGGGTTTTGATGAATACATGAATTTGGTCTTGGATGAAGCTTGTGAAGTTAACACTAAAGTTGACTCACGCAAACCTGTTGGCCGCATATTATTGAAAGGAGAAAACATTACACTTATACAAAACATGACCCCATCTATCGGATAAAACAAAAACTGTCTGAAAAAAAATTTCCTTTATTTATCCTTTGTAATATAAATTTCTAATAAAATATCTAATACATCTGAAACAATGTATTAATTGTAATGATATTTATTTAGTATTCAAATAATCAGAAAAACTTCCAACTGATTTCTGCTAAATTTAATTTTGTGATATATATATTAATAAGTAATTGCTATATTTTTAGATTATGTAATTAATTTAGATATAGTTCTTTTTTATTCTCATTGATAGTCGGAACTAAGATTTTTTAAATAATCTAGGTTAAAAAAAAAAATTGGTATCAAAAATATACAGTAGGGTATTATTAATTATATATAGAACTGTAGTATTGCTGGATTGTAAAAAAAAATGATACTTAAAACATTTAAACAAAAATTGGGTTAAAATTTAAAAAAAAAATGTTGTTATACTTTTATTAATTTATGCATGTGGATATAATTTATGTTACCAACAAGTTATAATTGTTGTTTAAATTCCAAAATAGAATTAATAGATTAAATTTCATTGAATTGGTAAAGTGGTAATCCAAAAATAAAATTATATCTAGATGTGCTAAATATATGCTAGATAACTGAGGGTACCGAATGGATGCAATGCCAGAATATAATACAGTACCTGTACTGTACATGTAGAATATTTTTTAGAGTATATAAAAACATGTATTGAACGTTTGTAGTAAGTATTAGAATATCTATTAATTGCATGAATATGCAACTTAAAGTATTATTTTTTAAATTCACTAGAAATAGCTATGTTTTCAATTATGTAGCTATACCCATCTTTGAAAATAAATATTAATCATTTATTTAACAATGCAATTCTATATATTATGTATTTAATATACTTAATTTAGCATAAATCTAAATCTAATTGTCTCTACAGAAATTATTTGCGTTATATGCAAAATTGCCTTTGTAGTAATTCTTAAGAATTTTAGGACTTTGTCGATAAGTAATCAATCTGTTAATTCAATACCAGATGACGTAAATCTTAGTGAGATCGAGACTATTGGTGACCAATTTGCTTCTTTAACTATCCCACTTTTCCTCTGTACACAAAAACTTGATTTATTTCCATTGCCCAGGGATGGAAAAAATACTCATTAAACAGTATCACGATACTAGATCCTAGAATTTGGAGTATCAAGATACTAGATACTCGATACTTACATTTTAAGTATTTAGATATTTGATACTTGTTATATATAAAAAATTAGTCATAGGATTTTTTTTAAATCTTATTAATACATAATTAGAGAGGTTGTACAGGTATGTAAATATATTAATTAATTAATATAGACCACAAAATGTAATAACTTAATAAATAATAATAATACATAAGCAATAGGTAAAGCTAAGTCCTGTTCAACTTGTATTCTTGGTGTGTCACAGTCCATAGATATAACTAAATACGACTAATAGGTTGAAAAATAATTTCGTACAAGTTGTAGGCTACAGCCTACAGGAAATCACGTATAACTATTCAATTGTATTTGTATTCACAAAATAAATATTAACTATGATTTATTATAGTAAAAATCAGAATTTTCGATAATTTGTAATTAATAGGTACTACTATTAAATGCATTTTGGCTTTTACACATATTATAGTATTTGTCATGGTATAGTCAGTCAAGGTTAATAGAAATAGGTGAGTGAAGATAATCGTAAAAAATTAATTTTTCAAAATATCGCATTAATGTATCGCGATACGAGATACTTCATACTTCATATAATTGTATCGAGATACAAAATACAATTGTATATTTTAATATTTCTATCTAAGATACTGCCCAACCTTAGTAATGCCTAATCGGATGTTTTCATAAACCTACAATCATAGCCCATAGGCGTAGTTAGGGGAGGGGATTTGCTCCCCAGTTTTGAAAATAGCTCCCCCAAAATGCAGATGAGCCTTACACGAGTCAGTATATGTTTACCCTTAGGAAGGCTACAGCCCCCTTCAAAAGAAAAGAAAAAAATCTGATATATCTGATCAATTAAGAGTTGATGTCCCGAAGAAGTTTCTTAAATTACTTGACATTCGTATTCATAGATTTTATATCACCCTCACCATAAATCTAATTTCTCCAGGAATTCTCTACTTTTAAAAATGATGAACAATGAAAACTTACTTTAGTTTGAAGGCACACGTTTTATTTTGTACATTCCTAAAATTACTTGCATCATGTTTATTTTTATTATCAATTAATAGTTAATTACGTATAGACTTAACTACTTAAGCTAAACAACTGTTATTAAATTGTTTCTTTTGTTTTTATATTCTTTTACATATAACGCTAATTGTTATACTGTAAAAAATGAATTGACGTTAATTCTTATAAACTAAAACAAAAAAAATTAGGTAAGTAGGTACCATTTTGCTGTGCATTAGATATAGAGTGGGGGGAGACATTATTGTGTATTATGGGTATGTTAAATTTGAATTCATGGACATATAATTGTATACCAAAAAATATTCTGAGTGGAAACCATTCAAATGCCTACATTAATAAGTGATAATACCTATGTTTTATTGATACAACTGTAGCTATTTTAACTAATTTATTTTCGCACCTAGTACGATTAATATTACACAACACATTAATACATAATATTAATATTTAATAGTGGTGAACATTTAAATTTACAAATTATATTGAATAAAGAAAATTGATTTATCGGTGCGTTGATTTTATTTGATTTGAATAAAAAAAATGACTACCGTTTTAAAATCTATTAGTATATCTATTTTACCTTTTACATTTCCGAATGTAGGTTATTAAAGTAATTAATACGCAAATGTAAATGTATATTTTAAGAATAAGAGTAAAATATAATATTAAAAAATAAAAAGTTATCTCAAAAGTCAAAAACAATAATTACTCCATAATTAACGACATAATCTAATTAAATAATTACATTATAATAAATTATATTGTGTGTGACATAGTAACGTATAAAAATTTAAAAAACGAATCACTTATCATTCGCGCCCTGCAGTGGCGATTTTTTACGATTACATCAAAGGACAAGGACGTGAGGTACGGTGGATCCCAGTTTGTTTACACATCGGACTAAGATGTTCAAGATGATTACAAAATATTACAATATCTTATTGTCCGCGGTTTACTTGGCTTTATTAGGTACGTTAGCAGCAGCTGCCAGCTGCTACAGACAAGACAACTATTATAATCTATATTCTATAAACTTTGTCGGTACTTCGGTAAAAATCGCGGTCATTAACAGATAGATTGATAATGCATAAGTGATAATAACTATCATAAGTTTGAATTATCAATCAACTTCGAATAACATTTCGTATTCGTATCAATCGTATCTTACCATAATATCGCTACTATATCCTATGTAAACTGTTATGGTGCTAAACTTCTGTAGTTCTGTAATATTGTTATAGTCACTATTTATTTAGTATTTACTATTTAGTACTTCGGAAACATTGGGACTTGATAGTCGCTACTCGCTACTCGCTAGTCGGTGTGCGTAAATGGTACAACGCTGTCGTGCTGTTCCTTAAATAAATATTTCGTATTATACATTTATATTGCCGTTGACATAATGAATACGTCCACACAGTACAGTATGCGTTGGGATGACTTTTCATCCCATTTCACAAATGAATTTGTGTCTCTACGGAATGACGAACAATTCGTCGATGTCACATTATGTTGCGATGATCAGTTCATCAAAGCTCACAAAGTTATTTTATCAGCATGCAGTCCTTATTTTAAAAAAATACTCATGGTAAAATTTATGTTCATTTCGTACATACTGTTTTAATAATTGTTTTTAATTGAATTATAATTTTTTTTTTAATAATCATCATTATTAATACCCTTAGATGAATCCATCGAAACATGTCACGGTTATTATGCACAACGTGGAATATGAACTCATGAAAACTTTAGTTGACTTTATGTATTTAGGAGAAGTACTTGTAAATCAAAATAATGTTGATAGATTTTTTAAATTAGCCAAAACATTCAATATAAAAGGATTTCAAAATGGATTCAATAAAAATGAAGTTAGTATTTAAATATAAGTTTAAACAATATATAATAATTTCGTACTTTCAACTTGTGAAATTTCCAATCAATAAAATGATTCCTCTTATAATTCATTTTTTTTTTTTAACTCCCTCAATTCAGTAATAAAGGTGTAATATTAATGGTTAACATAAATTTACTTAATACATTTAAACAACGATAATACTATTAAATAAATGGTTCTATAATACTATTCAATATATAAAAAAATAAATATATTGTATTAATAAACAGTTATGCTGAATAATAAGTTGGTACGCAATCATTTTGTACAAACTATAACGTATTAGTAATTAATAAAAAAAAAATATTTAATTTTCTAAAACTTGTTTCAGAGTTCAATTTTACCTTCTTTGTGTGAAAATGTAGAACAAGATGTGCCAAAAAACGATGTTATTGATTCTATGGATAACCATGATGATGGTTTATTTGCTAATCAACTAGATCAACTCAATCAACTTGTGAATCCCAATGAAATAATTGTATGTTGTGTAATTAATTCAGAGTATAAAAAATACTTTTATTTATTTATTTTTTATTTTTTTGTGTTACAGAAACGAAGAAAAATAGAAACAAATTATTGGCAACAATCTACTGAAACAACGCCATCAACACAACCTGAAAAACAGAGGTGTCATTCTTTAGATCCACGGCCATGTCCAGAGTGTGGGCGTCAGTATAGTAGTTTATCTAACTTAAGGCAACACATTGAATTAATTCATAAACCTGGTTGTGTCGTTTGTCCTTTATGTGGTAAAACATTCAAAAATAAGCTTTACCTACGGCGGCATTTTATTAGTTTTCATGAAATGTTACCATCCAAAGTTCAAAATACATCTGATCCAAGTACACCTTATACTTCAACACCATTACATTATCAGTCTGATCAAAACCAACAGAGATTACAAATCAAAGAACAGTCTAATACCCAACAACTGAGTTCTACTTGTTTTGATCAAAGTATACATCCACGTTAAGTAAAGCTAAATGACAAATGTAATGTTACTTTTTCTAATAATTGTTGTTATTGTATTATTATTAAGTATTATCAAAGGCCACAGGTTAAAGCATCTAATTTTAAATTAAAAATATTAACTTTTTATGTGCAATTATATTAAATGTAAATACTTTATTCTTTATTAAAAAGTATGCTATTTTTTGTAGACACATGTTCAATGAGTTTATAGGGTCTTAATCTTCCAGAACATTTTCTATGATATGTTTTTTTTTGGTTTTTTTAAAGTATTTTAATACTTGGATTCTAAACCAATTATCTTTAGTTAAATTCTGGCTATGTGTCTGATTTCATGATCTCTTAATTAAGTATTATAAGATGCTATATATCTTCAATAGAAACCAAGAATTATATTTAGCCTATATCTAATATAATTTATAAAACCATTAAATATGGTGCTAATACTTGTTATCTAAATAGATTAAAATATTAAAAATCTTGTAATCTCATAGTCTAAACAGTTTAAAAACAAATGTATAAATGTTGTTTATTAGATAGGTACTCACTGTTATCTTCTGAAAATATATAATACTACTAATATATTTAAAATAACTAACAATATATCACATTTATAGTCCCTTTTTGGGTTACTAGACAAAACCTATTGATATAGCTTCTATATTTATAATTTATTATATGATATTAATTATTGTTTTATGATGACTTAAAATTTTTAAATTTATTCAAGTACTTATATGGAAATTATGAAACAAAAGTTTATTAATAAATTGCAATTAATTTTTCATAGTCAATAATTCAACTTTTTTATGTATTTTTATAATTTATGTATATGTTATGGATCAAAATTAATTTATATAACTCAAAATTGTCAACAAGTCCAGAAAAAATGATATATAATTTTGCAACTAATAAGATTTTTGAAAAACTAAAATGCAATCAATATTTTTTTCAGCTGTCTAATAATGACATTATTTCACAATAAATTTCCTAAATATAAAGTATGCAATCTTGATAAACTTTAAAATTTTATTATTATTATTATTATTATTATTATTATATTACTTTTTTTAATATAGTAACTTTATTTAACAATTTTTAAGAATTGCATATAGAACCAGAATATTTACAATATTGATTCTTATGTTTCACAAATACCATTCATTAAATCAAAATCTATTTTGGAAATGGATTTCCTTATAAAAATTATAGCATATTTAAATAATGCTTGTTTTTAATATCAAAATCAAATTAAACCTTACTAATATTTATTATTGACCTGCCTTCTAAATTTAATTTAATCATATATTAATACAAATACTATGACTTTTAGTAATATCAATAGCAAATTCAGAATTATAGTTGACTTAGGCCACATTTTACACTTAATCTGTAACATATACATATAAACTTTTCAAAATAAAATCAGTAACGGAGTGATTAACTGGTATGGAAGTGCAGCTCTGTTTCTGAAGCTTTGATCTTTTGGTCTACTTGGTGATCGAGAAGTTGTCATCAGACTATTGATATTCAGTACTGATTTCATTTTGATTTTTTTAAATAAATATTATTTATGCACCAAAATAAAACGTGTTGGAATTAATATTTGTCATATAATAAATTGTAAATTTATTTTGTATAATATTGTTGATTCATTTTACATTCAAATAGTTTTAATTATGTTATGTTGTATTTTTCTTTATTATTATATAATATGGTTAAAAAAATTAAATTTTTGAACCACTTTGTAGTAATTTATATAAGTTGTAAATAATATAGGTATACATTTGTATAAATATAATTAATACAATTAATAAATTAATGGTATATGAATTACTTTTTAAATTTATATGTACATTTTAAAATATTACAGTTTACTTTACTTTGATATAAATGAAATTAAGAAATGTATTGTATGTATTTACATTGTATTTATTTTATAAAATGATGGTGAACAAAAGAAAATCTTATTAACATTTTTATTTTCAAACAATCCATCATGGTATAAGTCATATATGATAATATATAATTCTTAAATTTACCACCATCATCATTAACAAACATAATCATCATCATCATCATCATCATCATTATAATCTCATCATAACACTGTGGTCCTTAATCACTTTTATAGAAAGAAATCCTTGAACCATAAAACAAGTTAATGATCCTCATACATATAGGTACGTAAATAACTAAAATATGGTTATATCTTATATTCTTATGTCCCTACTAGTAAATCAATTTTGATAATTTGACCATCAACATTTTCAAAAAAAAAAAGAAGATTTATTAGAACTCATTAAAAAAATGTAGCTATTACCATTTGAAAAATAAAAAAATATGTCCTTTAGTTTTCTCAAAATACCATATTAATATTATAATTAATACATAATCAATAAAAAAAAACCACGCATACCACATCATAAATATATGCTGTAATTCCAAAATGTAAGCAGTAGTCAGTAGATATCCAAAAATAAAATAAGTTTTGATTCAATTTAATTTAACAGATAACATATTATGTTTAAGTTTAAGTTTATTAGAAAAATTAACAATGTTTACCAGTTGTTATAGTTAATTGTTTTAATAAAATAATAATTTTTAGTACATAAAGCAATTAAATTTAAATAGTTAAATATTCTTGTTAAATATTTCATAAATAACTACAACTAACGTCATTTACAGATCAATATTTTTGATACAGACAATATTAAGAGAATAACCAATAAGACTAGGAACTAATATTAGCTCAAATTAGCAAAAATAAATCAATTTTAAAATTACATGACTAAAATGACTTCTTAAAATCTATGACATTTTGCAATTGTTTTACAATTTATGTTATTTAGTATTTTGAAGCACATAAAATAAATTTATAATTTAAATTATAGAACAATTTTACTTTAATTTATAGTTTGTTATGTCTTATGTATTAAAAATAAAATTAAAATATCTAATTTCTATATATATAAAAAAAAAAAAAATAACAATAATAAAAAAAAAAACATAAGAACACATAAGTAAAAAATTCTATATTATAACAGTCATGAGTTATTATTTAAGCATATTAAATAATATAATGACACACACATATATAAAAAAAAAAAAATTTGACAAGATTATTTTTTAATAAACCAAAATTAAATATTAAATGAATTACAGTAGACCTAAGAGTAGTTAATACTGAATTAGATCAACAAATTAATTTTAAAATAAATATTTGTAGATCTATAGTATATTTTTTCTATACATTACAAATTGTTAATTATTTTGTGATGTAAAAAAATGGTTGATATATTAATGTAATAAAAAAAGAAGATATAATTCAATTTGAACACTTAAAGATGGAGCGCATACATACAGTGATGTATGTCTGAATAAGATAAAATAAAATAATTTACTTATTCAAATTTAAATATTAGTCACTGAATAATAAAGCAATAACAATAGGCAAATTAATCAAATTCAAAATAATTTTAATTATATTTTTAGAAAACATTTGAAACTGTTTTGTATAAGTTAGGTTTGATTAATTGACATCAGAATTTAATTTTTATACGTATTGACTGCTCTTATAGCACAACATAATATTAATGCCAAAACTAAACCAAAAAATTCAACTGAACCAATCGCCACCAATAATACAAGGAATATAATCATACTCTTCCGTGAAGTATACAATAATTTCTCAGTGCATCCCTGAAAATAATAAATTATTTTTCAAACAAGTCACAATTTAGGCATATTTTCTATTAAGTGATAGTAAATAGTTATGTAAGAAGAAACTGTTTAATGTAATAAGTATTTAATTTAATAAAATGTTATCTCTCATAATTTAAAAATGAAAGGAAATATTATAAAATTATTTTTATAGTTAGTATCAATTAACCTGCAAGTTTAAATACTTAAAAAAAATTAAATTAAATTTATGAACTTACCATGTTATGTACTATAGAAAATATCTACTAATATGTTTTCGCTTATTTCTATACAAAAATTAAATCAATAAATTTATTTAATCATACCTCAGAATATATTAATTCAGATATTGGTCCTGAAGCTACAGCTGTTAAAGCTTCTGAACATTGTTTAGGGTCACCTTTACAACAAGAAGCAGGAATTTTAAATGATTGTTCTGGAGAACTTATTGCAAGCCCTAGACTTTCAGTCTGTGGATTATTATATTTGCTCCCAGCCCAATCAGATGGACCTGATGCACCACAACATTCAAACTATAACATAAATTTGCAATTTTAATAAATATATGATTAGCTTAAGACAAAAAATTAAATATATCACATATATTATGCAAAGTTAAACATATTATATTAAATACATTCATACTCTTTACACATATCATACATGTTTAATAAATTATTATTCTACAACAGGCATAATTAAATAATGTTACTATTGTTTATATTCCAATAAAAAATATATTGTTTCATATCTATTTAATTCATAATTTTATTATTCAGAGTGAAGAGATAAATTAAATTTATTTACAATAATGGGATATTTTATCTCTTTAATACCCAATACCTATCATTGTATTTTGAAGCAGTCAAAATGCTTCAAACATAAACATTGAGGATAGTTTTAAGTAAATAATGTTTTAGATATTGTTGGTTCTTTGGGGGTCCAAAGTTTAAAAGACGTTAAAATTTTAGTAACTTTGAAAAACTAAAATATTTATGTAATACTAGTTTTTGATTAAATCTATTAACATTTTTAATAAAATTATAATATAAAAATAAATATTTATGGATTTAAACAGGACAACTTGAAATTTTCACTTAAAAATTATATTACCATTCTAGACATATAATTTTCAAAGTATTTTGGTTTTTACTTTTAGCTACTGATAGAAAATTTAATATTGTAACTTTTTTTCAATACATTTCGATAAAAACTATTAAATTGATTAAAATGTTTATAAATTTAATATAAAATTCCTCAAAAGTTGTTCCTAGAACAATTTAAAAATATTAAAATAAATATTATGTGTTATTATTATTATTTTTTTTTTTTTATAAGCATTTAAGTTCAAATCTTGCAGAAATTGGATAAATACTTTAATGAAAAATAATAATTTTATTTATTTTTTCTGTAGTAACTGTTTAGTTATTATCTATACACAAAGAAACTTTTAAAATATTTTAACATTGAATTCTAGCTAAGTATACCAAAATCCTATCTATACAAATCGTACATTGGTATTGATGTATAATTTTTAAGTTAATAACTATATAATATTTTCAATGTTTTTGGAAAAAAATAGTTCAATACTATGTTACTAATAATATAAATAAATCATAAAATATTTTTAAAAACACTATAACTAAGTATATTAACTAATATACCATATCTGTTAATCAGTAAAAAGTGACGCGTCAAAAAAATGTAACGAGGTGTTGTTGATCTTTTTGACCAATTTATAAGAAGTAATTCTATATTGCTGATAAGTTTATTAACTTATTTCTAAAGATATCATAAGATTATTATTCTTTAAAACTATACTATAATAAAAATATCCTAAAGTGTAAAGACCATCCCCAAAGCTAAACTTCTTTCCTTACCAGCTCATAAACAATACATATCAAAATAAATAAATATGCAACCAATTTTATAGAAAAAAATAAAAATATTTTTTTTGTAAGTAATAATTTTCATCTGAATCCAATTGGATTTTATGTGCACATAACTAATAATTGAGAGTATCTAACACAAAATGTAAAATAATAAATTTAATTTATCTAAAATCACATAAATGTGTTATAGACGTTATAGTGTACATATACGATAGGTATGGAAAATGTTCAAGACATTGAATAATTCACTATTTAATAATATATCCAATGTATCAACAAAACTTTTCCCCAATAAAGAATAGCTTTCAGTATGTAATAATTTATGTTATCATTGAATTCAAATTTAACATGTTTACTACAATGAAATAACATACTTGACACCTATTAAACAGCAAAGCAACTCTACAAGTTATAAACAAATTCAAAATTGTTATTATCAGCCTAGAAGCTCAGGATTAATTTTAAAAGAAAAAAAATATAAACATTAGTTATTAAATAATTAATACTTACACCACTTTGGATAGCATCAAATGTTTCTGTGCGGCCTTCAATTGAGCCATACTCTGATTGAACAGTTGTTTTAACAGTATATCGAACTAATTCTACTAATTTATCATTATTTGCATACATCCAAACAGCAGCTGATATTTGAGCTACAAGAACAGCTAGTAATAGACAGAAATACTAAAACAAAAAAAAAATACAATTTAAGTTTTTAAACAAAATTTATAATCAATTAACATTTTTTTTAAATATATTACAAGAACGAGTGAACATTGAGATTCACTTATTGCAGCTGCACAACCAAGAAATCCAACGATTAGAAGTAATGTTCCAACGAATAGAATAAGATATACACCTGTATAGTAACTGGCCTCATCTTGTACCATACTTAAAGAAAATGTTGGATCTACCCACATCCATACTGCAAGTAGCATTAACAATAGGCCACAAGACTGAAATGAAATAATATAAAATATGAATAATTAAACATTTTTAAAAAGAAATTTTATAAATATGCAAAATAATTTTATTAATGTTCAACACTAATTTAATCCATTTTTATTTAAAAAAAATATTTTTTCATAGTATATTTTAACCAAAGTCTGCTGTCCGATACCATATTTTCTACAGCCTTGGTTAGAATCTACTAGTATAATTTCAAAGGTCTATGACATAATAGACTGATTTTATTAAAGTATATCTAAGACAAAGCATAAGAGCTGGCTGGTAATAAATATACTATAAAATATATTTAAAATGTAATGTAAATAGAATTGTTGACAATATTTTTAAATATCAAAAAATTAAAAGGTTAGGTAAGTGCTATTATTAACTACATAAGTTCCTAAAATTCCTCTAAGCGCCACTAAATTATTATGTCATCTAAATAACCTAAACAACTATTTCATATCATCAAATTATTACAATATTATTTTACTGAATTAGTAGCACTCCAAAATCATAATATCAGACAATCTAGTTCCATTACAAAGCTTATAAACTAGTATTAAAATAGAAGTATGTTACATACAAATTAAATTCATTTTTAGATAATAAAAATTTTAAACATAATAATATAAGATATATATAAATCATTCATAAACGTCTTCTTTCAAAATGTCTTGTATTATGTTATATCAAATTATTTACACACTAAATCAACAAAAACTTATAGAATGTACAATTATTATCATAACCATTCATTATTGTAGAAGACTTACACTTATAAATAATAATAGAGTTGCTGTCAAATATCAAAAAGAAGAAAAAGCAACAGCTGTGATTTACATATGATATAATTTTTATATTTAAAAAAAAAATTGGTACCTATATCACTGAAATATTATTTCTTTTAGCAAAATATTTAACATTTTATGATTTTTACTTGATTTAATTAAATAGTTTAGCTATTAAATAAAAATACAGTGAGGAGTTAAGTTATTTTGATATTGAGTCAATACATGTTACTTTAACATTTTTTTTTAAATCATTGATAAAAATATACAACAATGTCATCATTTTTCTGCTATTTTCAACTTTAAAAGCTTAAAAAATAAAAGAGCTCACCTATCCTTTGATATGTGTAAATGGACATTTAAAAACAATAAAATAAATTAATGGTTAATATAAGTATAAAATAAATATTCAAAAATGTATGGATGAATCTATATTCATTACTAATCAGTATACAAAACAACTTTTAAACCTACTATAAAACGTGATAAAGAAAAAAAACAAAACAAAATAAAATAATCTAGTCAAACGATTCCGTAAACGGAACAAAGAAAACAAATTTTCGGGCTGGCATTACAATAACTTTGATACTATAACCTTACAGTCACGACGTATTGCGAGACTGGCGGACAGCGTCCATTATCGTGTCCGACATGACTGTCAAATATCTAGATACTACGACGATCGGTACTTACCAAATACAAGATATTTAGGAGGGTAACTACGTGTTTCATAAACGCATAGCAGCCTGTCAACGCCATCTCAGCCGTTCAAATAATATCGTTCACAACTCAAAACTAAAATAACAAACAACAACAACGAAGTTTAACTTGTTGGAGTCTCCGTTGACAGCTTTGAGCATTCGAGCTTCCCATATATGGTCATGCGTCGATTGTGTCGTCAGAGTTCACTATTCACTGTTAACTCGTTAAACTGCCTATGGGCTATGGCCTATCTACAATTTACTATTTAGTTCTATCACAGAAATCTGTGGTTCTTTAGTATCTTATCTTATCGGACTATTCACTAACAATAATAATAATAAATAACAATAATAATAATAATAATAATATTAACATGATCCTGATCATCAACCTTTAATGATATTAGGGGGATGGTAGAGATGCAAACATGATGTAACCACTAACCACGGTTATTTGAGACATAAAGATTAGAGATAAGTGTCGAAATTCTCATTATAATCATTTATTTTCTAAGGATAAATCATGCTTTTGAAATTTGAATATTAAATCGCTTATTCTATTAAACAACCACTACTACGTATTGCAATGTTGTCTTAAAATTTAAATTGAATGAGTGGGCAAGTAGGTAACCGCTCTGGTATTGAGTATGTATCAAATCAACCGTACGTTGTTATTGAGTAAAATACTGTAATGCGGGTGTGTGTTAAATTTAAACTTGACGCAAAATCATTGCATAGATACGAAAATCGATAATTTATTAATAATAATAAGTCCATATTGATTTATTGTACAGAAATTTATGAGAAGTAAGTTTGTGATTTTTGTGGTTTAAATAATCATTACCTAATTAGAATAAATCTAAATATCATTAATTAAAAAAAATATACATAACTATCAACATAGAAGTTTCCTGCAAATAGTATTTTCGAATTATGAATTTACGAAAAATTTACTAAAATCATTATTCTCTGTTTAAATACCTAATTTCAAACGTCTATAAGAAGAATTATTATTTTTGCATATTTTTTTAGATTCTTAGGTTCCAGTATGAATTATTTTTGAGAAATGCTTGTTTACCAAAAAAAAAAAAAAACTATCATACATAAATTGTAAATAAATTAATTAAAATTTATAATATCATTAAATACTATTTAAAGAGACAAAATATTTTTAAAATAATTTGAGTCTTTACAAGGTTGTGATAAAAAGAACAAAATTATTTTATTTTTTTTAAGCTGTTATGCATAAAAATTCCTATTTATCTAACTTTTTATCTTTTCTTCTTCTTGAGTACTTTGAATTGTTTAATTTTTACGTCTTTAAGTACCAACTAGATCTAATTTTCTACGAGAAAAAATTTGTTTAGAAGTTGAAAAACCAAAAATCGAAATATGTTAAGTGAAAAAAGAACCAATGAAAAAAAATACTAAAAAATCCATGAATTAAAAGCTGTGTAATATGGCTAACACTTTCATAGATTATAATATTTGAAATTGAAATGAATCGATTATTTTGACGATTTACTAAAAAGATATTTATTTATATTTTATTATTATTATTGAATATATTATCTATTATTTCTACATTTATATATTAATTCGTATTTTAAATAAATTCATAAATATTGATTCAATATTATATAGTTAAACATGATAGGTAATTAAAAAAATATATCATTAGAATACAATAGTAAAACTATTTTAGTTGGTACTGAAAATATTGAATATTCTTATGGTTACATAATACAGAAATCGTAATAATTGAATTTTTAATTTTATGAAATATGATGATCTAAGCTTTAGATTCTAAGATGTAATGTATAGTGTATAGTTTATTTTATTCCTTCCACCGCCGCCATCGTGAAATTTGTACGGATCAATCTCAGCTTGGCGGACTACAGTTTGCAGCACTGTAGTTGTTAGTTTCCGATTTATGATAAGTACGGGTGCGAAGTTGCGAAGATGACAATAACAACCTTGGGTCATTTCCAAGTCTCATAACTTTTGTTGAGGAAAAACGGCAGTGATTTTAATAGATACAGTACGACAAAAGGATTGCGTAAAATGAACTTTTGTAGTTGACAGTGTAGTCAGTAGTCACTGTTGCCGTTGTATTTGTAATTTTTCACTGATTATCGATTATTCACTTAAGTTCGTTTGTGCGTAAAAGTCTATCAACAATGTCTACGCCAGCTAGGAGAAGATTGATGAGAGATTTCAAAAGGTAAAAATTTGTTATTTACCACATCATCGGACAACTAAAAATAATCTCATTGTTTGCACATCATGTTCCTATTTGTTACTAAAACCTAATGATATTAGATTGCAGGAAGATCCACCAACGGGTGTGAGTGGAGCACCTACAGACAATAATATTATGATTTGGAATGCAGTTATATTTGGGTAAAGCTATAAATTTATGTTTGCTGTAATGTTGACAAAAAAACAAAAATTCTACAGTTTAAAATTTTTCTAGGCCACATGATACACCATTTGAAGATGGTACATTTAAATTAACTATTGAGTTCACTGAAGAGTATCCAAATAAAGCACCAACAGTAAGATTTGTATCAAAAATGTTTCATCCAAATGTATATGCAGATGGTGGTATATGCCTAGATATATTACAAAATAGATGGAGCCCTACATATGATGTTTCTGCCATACTAACTTCAATCCAAGTACTTATTAAAAAATAATAATTCATTCTTTATTTAAAATAAGTACATCTACTTTACTGGGCTCCTTCATTTATAATAGATTAATGACTATGAATAAACTGTTTCTAATCCTAAAATTTACTCAAACTCCATACTATTGCTTGTGTATTATAGTTATTACTTTCATAGTAAAGATAAAAAATAGCATAATTTATTTAACAATAATTCATTAATTAAAAATTATTTTTAATCTCCCTGAACATCAATATTATTTTAGTTTGCAATAAGTATTTCTTATCCCTTTTTTGTTAATTGTTCTTATTAATAATTTTAATTCATTAGCCTTTATTTCGATTAGAAGGTGTCTAATAAAGTAGATATTTATTATTTTATCAGATTTTTTAATTTAATATCATTATTTTTATTATTTAGTCATTACTTAGTGATCCGAATCCAAATTCACCAGCTAATTCAATGGCCGCTCAGTTATACAAGGAGAATCGACGTGAATATGAAAAGAGAGTGAAGGCTTGTGTTGAACAGAGTTTCATTGATTAATTTTTTTTTTTTTCAAAGTGCTTACATTTTCATCTTTAGTATTTATCAAATATTAAGAAAAATAAATAATGATATGTTTATGTAAAACATGTATTTACATTTCCAAAATTCAATATTTTTATTTTATGAATTTAATTTTTCTTTTATTTGGTAAACCATTGTTATATTTTTTGGCTTAAAACTAACATTATAAATATATAATATAATTTAATAATAAATGTTTGAAATGATTAAATCAATTAGAAACATTTAATAAATTGAGCGAAATTATTAGTTACATTATTCTACATACCGATATCTAGTCTCGATAGAATTGTAAGTATAATTATGTACATATATATATTTCAGTGTTATTTACAATTATATTTTAGTTATTCACATTTTTTGTTAATTAAAAACCAATTCGCTAAGTGAAATATTAAAGTTATGATTATTAATACATAAATGGTCAGTGATCATATTGATTTTTAATTTTTAGAATTATTAACCGCATTTATTTGAATACTATCTGATATTCCAAAGTTTTGACAAAAAGTTGAAATGACATAACATAATTTGTAGTTTGGTTTAAATTTTTAAAAGAATTGCATATAATTTTTTAATATTAAATATTTTTTTTATTTTTTTTGTTACCATCATTTGCGCACTTTAGCAAATTTACTATTTCATAATAATTACAAAACAACCACCTCTAGATTATTGTAGTTATACCATGGATTAGTGGTTCTTTAACTAAGGGGTGAACCTTTCACCTGGGAACTATGTAAATATTGTATTCACTTTATACAAATAAAAAATATTTTATCTATTTAAAGGAAGTAAAATAACATTTATTTTTTAATTTTTTGGGAATTTGTGAACAAAATTAAGTTAGGGAACTGCTATCATACGGTATAGTATAAGTAAATAATATTTGATATCCATTTTTAGTTTGTGAATTATCTTCGAGCTTTAGTTAAATATATATTTTTTTGAAATGATTTTATTATATTCTTTATTCGAGATATTAATTTTAAATTATGGAATGTTAGTAAAATGCATTTAATCCATTATACTGATTATTTGAATATTTAATATTAAATTTTTCTTCAAAAATATTAGGAAAACATGATTATCAAAATTTAACTAAAAAATATTTATTATTTATTCACATGTATTTATATTCATCATTAATGTACATTTTTTTATTTTTGGTTTGTATATAAAATATAATATGTAATATATCTTTAGGGTGTGAAATCCACTTAAAATTTAGTTTCAAAAGTAATAATTTAACAAAGCTTTTAAGTATCTTATAAAGAATAAGAACACAATATGAACTTAACTGAGATAAACAAGTTCACCTCTAGTCTCAGTTGTAATGTGTAAGGCATTTGTTCTGTCTATGATGCTTGTACTTAAATATTTAAAAGGTGCACTCAATTAAATAATTTTTATACATTAAATTTTCATGATCAATTTTGTTCTTGATTCACTTGATTACCAATATTAACTTGAAGTTCTTCATGATGTCTTTCTTTCTTTAAAAGTGTTATTGATATATCATTTTCGGAAATGTTATTTGATATATCCAAATTATATGTATTAACCTAATTTAACAAAATGTTAGTAACAAAATATATATGCGTTAAAAAAATATCAATATAAGTACCATCATTAACAAAGACAAAAAATATCGAGCAACTTCTTCTTTGTCTAGTCCTCCAACTAATTCTCTAAATAATTTTTTTTCTCCTATAAATTCAAAGCAGCTTAATATACGTGTTCCATATTCATGTACATCAAATTCTGTTCTTTTTTCTTCTTCTTCTAATATAGGCCGTAGATTATTATGCCATTCTTGTACTCTTTGCCGCATTTCCAATTGTTCATTCATCTAAAATAATTAATAAAATTAAATTCATATTAATAAGTGAAAAATTAAATTTACCATTTCTATTTGATTTTGTTCATGTTTCTGCATATCTATTGCATTTCTTTGATATGATTGAAAATTTTCGATATTGGCATCTTCAATTGGTTCTTCATTTTCTTGTTGGTCAACATCTCCAAATAAGTCATTGTCATCATGAATTGGACTATCAAAGCCTATAAATCCTGGTTCATCTGCGTATCAGTTAAACAAATTTTAATTTAATTAATAAAAATTATAAATTTATAAATATATTTTGTATAAAATTATTTGTAATTTTATATGTCAAACCTTTATAATTCTAGAAATGTAGTTGAACAGTTATGGTTTATACTCAAAGTATTTTTTAAATTATTAGTCCATGAAGTGAACAAATACATTTTTATGGTAAGCTATGATTTAATCATTATAGCTTTAAAAGTCAATTGATAATCTAACAGCTTTCAACCCCAAATAGCTTTGAAAATATTATACATGATATGCATTATACTGTATTTAATAGTTATTAATTTACTTATGTGTTACATATTATAGGAGTTTAGGAAATAATATAATATTAATATTTGTATACAAAATGTTTTTCATTTTTGAAAAAATGCAATTCTTTTTATTTGGTAAACTGTTCTATTTTTTAACTGGTGTAAGATATTTTTTTTTTAGAAGCAAAATTATGTTCTAAATTAATTACTAAAAGGCAAAATAAATAGGTTTAGCAATATAGTGTATATTGTAAACTATGTGATAACTAACAATTCAAGTTTATGTATATAAATTCAATTTGAATAATATGTCAACTTTTAACTTATATTTTTAAGTAGGTCACAAACTTTACCTAGAATTTATTTCTTTTTCAGGCCAATCAATTATAGAAGTGAGTGGAATCACAATAATATTTGGATTATAAATTCATAAAATGTTTATCTTACACTGTTAAAATAGTGCTAATAATAAAAATATCTTCCAATTGATTTAATTAGTACTAAGTTAATTGTAATAATCATTAATCAGGACTATAAAAATGATAAGCCAATTAACTATTAAAAATTAAATCAAAATCGTGAAACATAGTAGCCTAGGATCAGGCTAATACTAAACTTAATCTTAAAATTCAATTAAAACGAATAAAAACTAAGAAGTTACTCTATAGTAGGTTTAGGGTCATGAATTTTGTCATTATAATGAATGTTTACAATTTTAAGTTAATGCCGAAAAAGAATACCAAAATCTATTCTATGCAGAGACAGCGTTTAGAATCTATATTTCTAAGTATATGTTATAAATTAATAATTATTTACTTTTTTACTATAAGTTATTTACTTTTGATTAATTTTTCTCAAAACCAACACATGTAAAGTAAAATATAACTTGTTTAAAATGAGGTTATTCACTGGTCTTTAAATTTCCTATAATACTTAATGTAAAAACCACTTGTTAAGATGCTTAGTTTTTCTCTATTTAATTGAATTATAGACGCCATCTTACTTTAGATCAGCAGATGATATATAATCATATTAAAAAATATCAATTGATAAATTAGTGTAATAAATATTTGAGGTTTAGTGTTGTGTAATTTGTTGATATTTGAATCTATAATAGTCCCGTGTAATGATTTTGTTATAGTGGGTTTTAATGATATAAAATGTAAAGCACTATCAATTTTGGACAAACTAAATATTTAAAAAAAATACATTGAGTTCACCGACAAACTAAAGATATGTCTTTTAAATTTAAGGGCTGTGTTGAAAAATAAACGTGACATTGAACAAAGCAAATTGATAAGTGGAAACAATAAATAAAAAGTAAAATACAGAAAGTATGAAGAGTTTAAAAAGATTTTATAGAAGTGGTTTGTATTTTAATAATAATAAATAAACATATTTTACTGTAATAAATAAATAAACTTAATATTTCAACCTCCTAGGTTTTTTCAATTTCCGCTTAAAATTCTCTTGGATCTAACTCCTTAAAATGTATCTTAAATTAATTTTATTGCATTATATCATAATTTTTTAATATTATACCATATACTATTATTATTAACTAATAACTTATTCCAGTGTATCATAGTTCATAGTGAATAGGTTCATGGTATAAATAGATTAAAATCAATTAAAATATTTTAAACATTTAATTATGCTTACCAAATAATAAACATAATAAGAAGTTTAAATTATTTACAAATATTTTTTGAATTACCACACAATAATTAAAATTAATTTTAATAGAATATAATAAAAACACGAATTTGAAACGTCAATAAACATAAATATTGTACATAATATACATTTTAAATATTTATAGATCGCTCAATAACTTAGGAACTTCATATTAAATTTCAAACCTTAGATAGGTATTAAAATATTATTTTTTTTATATATTTGTCAACTACAAAATAATTAGTATATTTTCAATAATTCATTAAAATTCTAACACACAAGAAATTATAGTGGATTTATGATAACTTTTTTTTTTTTGTTCTTAATATTCTTGTTTGAAGAACCTTGTATTGAATTTTTAAGCTCTATGATCAATCATAAAAGCTGTTATCAATATTATACAGAAAAAATGAAACTAAAAAAATATCTTAATTTTTGAATACATAAATAGCTCAAAAAAAGTAAAAGATTTTGAGATATACTTTTAATATAAATATTTGATAAAAGTTTTAAGTATTTAGTATTATTAATTTTTTGAATAACAAAATCAAACTTACCACCATTTTTCAATTTTTCTTCCATTTCTTCATCATGATCTAAGGATAATTGAACTTGTTAGTATTATTTCTGTTAAAAACTCATAAATTAAATTAAATTTTAAAAACTTACAGTCAAATCGTTCTTTTTCTTCAGCTGAAAACCCAATGAAAATACTTGTATTAATATAATTTTTAGAAAAAATATTAGTGAAATATCTTTAACATTACCTATTAAACGTTTTTTTTTAATTTTAGCTGTTTCAGATCTTTGAACTTCCATTGCATCATGAATAAGTTGTCTAAATACAGGATCAGCATATAAACCAGATTTTAATTTAAACATTTGACATGTTAATTCTGCCACAGTATATGTCGGTAACCACATTCCACCATCCTAGAAAATATATTTATTTTTTTGTTTGTTATTAATATAAATGAAATATTTATTAAGAAAAAAATAATTTGAAAATATCCCAACTCACATGGAAACATATAATAAAATAATGAAAATACCCTGGTAAAACAATAATATTATAGAAATTATAATTAATAAAAATAAGGCAATAAATCAATATAAAACCAATAAAATATTCAACAACTTCATAACCATTTAATAAGAAATAAATTTAACAAATAACATAAATATGGAGACACACAAAATGTTATAAAAACCAAGTTAAATAACAACGAATAGAAACATATTTAACTATATTGATGTTAAACTATTAAACATACAATCGAAGAATTACAATAGAACACCATATAGATTATTACAACATTCTTATATCAACTGTAAATTACATAACTAAAACTATAAAAACTCAGTATATTTTTGTAAAATGATTTAAATTTTCAGTGTAGAAGTTTTTATCAAACTTCCAAGAAATTCAAAACTAGATAAAAGAAATTGGATCAATTGTTTAGCGCAAAACATAATTTTCACCAAGAAAACAGTCCAAAACAAATCAAATTTTGTATAAAAATTAGTTACAAGAAATATTTCAAATGTATATAAAAAAAATATATATATAATAACTGACACCTTCAAGTCAAAAAAGATATAAGGAAATTACAATTATCTATGAAAACCTTACAACCAGATAAAAGCTATCTAAAAATTGTTCCATTAACAAAACAATAAAATATAAAAGACCAAGGCAATAAGCATAACTATAATACTATCCTTACAGATTCATTGAGTACACCAAGCATTTTTGAAAATATAACAAATATTAGACATTATAATACTTACAAAATAAAAAAGAAAACAGAGGAATGAACAAAATATTTATTTAGGTACCACATATCAAAATAATGTAAAATAATAAATTTTAACGAAGAGAAATTAATAATGAAATACTGAATAGACTATTAATCGGTCATACTAAAATAATAAATGGTTTTCTAATGACAAAATGTTTATTTATATATGAAACTTATAAAGAAACATTAACTATCAAACATATAATGACAGAATATTATAAGTTTTCTATACTTTACTCAAGTTAAGGAAATAACTCGACAACTAATTTGTATTCATTTGACTACATGGTGGGCATACAAATAGTTTACTCAATGGGGTTGGCAAATAGGTGTTATTTGAACACCGTCTGACAAAAATTAATCATAGCCAGGTAATATTTTTAGCTTGAATAGAGTATAGCACTTTTAGTGTGATTTTGAGACCAGATCAAATAAACAACTAAAACATTTAAATATTACAAAACAAAACTAAATTGTATGACATAAGTATATTTAAAATTATAAAAAAAAAATAATAATAATAGATAATGATACAAAAGTTTTATTTTTGATTAATAGAAACAAATATAAGTATAGAATATTGTAACTTTATAATGTTATTCATCTTTGGTGACATGTGTTGGATAATTATTTACGTCAGTTTATTTTTAATATATTTTAAATTATTTTGTTAATTTTCTACACTTCCATAAGTAATGCTATCCTTAAGTTATTACTAATTATTACTAATTATCATACAATCATACAAATTTTAAAAATATTATTTATTTTTATTTTTTATAAGTATGAACACATAAAAATTAAAAATCATAAATTTATTTTTAAATAACAAATAATATACTTTAGTATAGATCAAAAAGAATATTTTTACAAAGTATTATTACTATTTGAATAATAAAAAATAAAAAAATATCATGTACACGCTATATGTACATATAGAATAATATAGACAAATATATCAATAAGTTATATCAGATTTTATGAAATGTAACTTATAAATAATAGGAATATATTTAAAAAAAAAATTGTAACTATGCCCCTTATTATTATTTGTTACTTTTTGAAAGTTATGATTGAAGTCTCAATACCTAAGATGGTTTTTTTATTATTATTGTAATAGTAATAAGAAGAAATAAAATATTCATCAAATATCTATCTATTAGTTACTTTTTAAGAGTTAGACTAAAAAATAACTAGATACTACGTAAATTATCTGTATGATAAATGTTTACTTACTTCTTTTTTAGATCCTTTTTTCTTTACGCAAGGTTTATCTACATAATTATTATCCTTAGCATTTAAAACAGGAGCCCATACATCATCAATATTTTGAGGTACTTGACTAATATTCAATATATTTGCTGGACTATAAAATAATAAAAGAATCATCATAACAGTGAAAATTATACATATAAGTATTTTATTTACTTTGGTAACATTGCATTATTAACACAAACTTCATCAGTAACAGTTTGATCAAAAATGACTGGATCTGGAGTACTTGGAAGTATTTCATCAATGTCATCAACTTCCATTAAATTCATTGGTAACTAAATAATTATAATTATATAGTTAAAAAAATCACAGTTAAGCTAAAATATACATTAATAGTAATAATATTATACTGGATCAGTGCTTTTTCGATAATTGAGAGGAGTTGCAGATTTTGGATCTTCATTAGTAGGACAATCAAATTCCTCATTAACAGCCAAATCACGATTTAAAGGAAAATTTATCCTTTAAAAAAAAAAAATTAAATTATACAATCCACATATTTATTATTTTTTGTAATCTTCTTACATATAGTCATATTTCTTTCCAATATTTTCTCCATTTCCAATACAAATATAAGGTAATATTTTAGAGTACTTATTATCTACTTTTATATTGGCATTAAGTACAATTTTTGGTACAGGTGGTTTTTTACTCAAATTTATAACTTTGCAGTCAAAAATTTTCACTATAAAATAATGTACAACTTCATATTATTTATTGACACTTAGTTAACAATTATACTCGGGGTTATACTATAGTAAATATACTTACATGTTCCAACAATTTGCCCTTTAATTGGTTCAAAAGAAGAATAAAATTTGACTTTTTTTTCTTTCTTTTTTTTTTTATTTCCTACATCATTTTCTGTGTCATAATCTACTTCGATATTTTCATTTATTCGACTGTTATAACAAATCAAAATTTAGAACTAAATCATAACAATGATAAAAATATTATTATTTAGAACAACTATATTTTACAAATTAGTTCCTATTTATAATTCAAAAAGTTTAATAAACAACTATCAAATATTGATCGAGTATTGAAAAGCAGTATGTTGGGCAACAAGGGCTTAAAAAGAAATAATAAGTTTAGACTTTTTTTTTTTTTTTTTTTAATTAAAGAACAATCAAAAGTCACGTTTGATATAATAAAATAAAACGCTAAATTAATATATTACTTCCATTTGGGGAATGAGTTATGATAAAATTTAAAGTTTCCAAAAAAGATAATTATATTTTAAGAAATGTATAATTCTCAATGGATTGAAGAGAAAATGTATCTATGATATTTAAAATTGGATGATACAGAGAACTAGATAATATATTAAAAGTAAAATTAAAACTTACTAAGCTCGAAATTTTCCAATAAGTTTCATCATGACATCTATTAATTGATCAACTCTTTTTTGATAAATAAGTATGACATTTTGAATCATTAATGCAGCTTCTACAAATACTAGGGCTCCTTCATCAGTAGATAATCTCAAATGGTTCAAAAATGAATCCAAATCCTGAAAAAAAAAATACATTACAAATACTTATAATATGTAAAATATTGTCATTGACATTCATTGTTATATAAAGGTTTAGAATTACCTTGATAAGATCATATTGAAGAGGTTCACATTGCTTTTTTTTTATGATTGATTCAATAGGTCGTAATAAATTTTTAAATGCTTCATCAAAATCACTATCGTCTTGATATTTACGTACAGAAATTTCCGCTAAAAACAAAAATATTTATTATATTTACATTTACGTATTTATTAAAATGAATACAATATTTTATAAAGTACCATTTGATTCATTTTTTGAAATATCATTCATTTTGGTAGGTTATCTTGAAGGACAAAAATCTAAATAGTACAAATTCTGAAATTTAAATTATTATTAATTAGTTTATTAAAAAAAAAAACAAATCAAGCAATAAATTTAAATAATAATAATAATAGTATACAAATACTAGATACATGTGTCACATTATTCATCTTGCTTCTATTAATATTACATTATTATTTTTAGTTTGAAAGATAAAACTTTTAAACTGTTTCTGAAAATAATTCTTTACTCAGTTTAAGTTAAAAAACAAAGTCGGCAGTGACTAATTTTCATTAGGCAATACCCTTTATCATCTATATACATTTCATGCAATTTATAGACATGTCACTGTGCATAAATTGGCCACCAACCATGTTTTTAACTTGAACAGAGTATATTTACTAAATTATAGAATATTTCAAAATGTTATCATGTCTAAGGTAGTATAATGCTATAATACTTATAATAATTTCAGTCAAAGAAAAAAACATGTAGGTCACCTCTTAATTTATAAAATAAATATTTATTTTATGATATGTAATTTAAAACTATAATAGGCAAAGACTAACTGTATACCTTAAGTTTTTGACCTCCTGCTAGGAATGCTCCAGACAAGTTTTCAAATACATTTCACAATATCATAGGAACTTGTTCAAAAAAATATATATATTTGAATCATACTAATACATTATAATATAACTAATACGCTTTATTTATTTTTTAACATGTTGGAACAAATTTAAAATTTTTATTTGTATATTTTATCAATTTTAACTTATTTATTTATTTCTAAGTTTTAATAATAATAAATGTAAATTTAAAAATAATACCGTTTTGTATTAATAAATAAATAAAAGAAAAGAAAAAACATCATTCAAGTTATACTCATAAGTTTATAATTATTTATTAAAATTGATCAATAAATCTCTTCAATTGTGCAAAAACTATTTTCAAAAACATTCAAAATATTATTAACTATGTAATATGTAAGTATTAATAACATAAGAATATGAATTCAATTAGTTCACCAATGACATTTTAATCTGATAGCAATTTCTTCTAAAAATGATATATGATTTGCATATAATTTCAGATTTCTATCCAAATCAACCCATTTTACTCCAACTGCATCATCTCCTGCATGAAGTTTTAATATTCCTACATTATCTCCTTTCTCATCGTGAAAAAGAGTTGCAATGGTTTCCATCCAAGCATTATCAGTGTTTCTAGGATCATCAACATATCCACAATAAACTTCTATGCCTTCATTAAATATTTTCTCTATTTCTTTTTTTATTTTTATAACATCTTCTTCAGATTTTTGCAATACATCCATAGCTTCTTCCATGAATTCTCTCTTTAAAGTGGTTGAAATTACTTCTCCAGAATCAACCATACCGCCAGGTAATGCCCATTCACCGGAATCTTTTCTTTGAATAGCAACAAATTGAAGAATAGGTTTACCACTGTTTTTATCAAATACATATTCATTATTAGATTTTTTCCAACGAGTAACAATTGGATCAGCAGCATGATTTGGGCCCCAACGTCCAAGAACTCCACGGCCAATTATACCAGTTCGACCACAAGGGTTTAGAGGATAGCCATTTTTAATTTCATATATCCCAGTCGAACTAATTCTATTAACATAACCATCAATAGTATTCCAACTGGGTTTGAAGTCAAGCATACTCAAATCTAAATCAGCCCATGGTTGACCAACAACACATGTAGATGTAAATGATGTTGGATTATAGATAGAATATAGGGAATTCCAACTAACTTTATCATCTGGTACATGAAATCGAACAATTTTTCCATCTGTTTTAGGGTAAGTGTTGTTTCTACATTTAATGTGGAACATGATTTTGGCGATCATTTGCTTTTCTTCTAGTAACAATAAAAACAAATAACTGATGGAATTTATTAGTTAATTTATTTATTTAATTAAACATAAAAATGTATAATATTATAATGAATAGAAATATATGTGTATAGTTGTCTTCTAAAAATAAATACTTAAGTGTTTGGGTAAATATTATATAATTTAGATGATAACCAACTTAAAATCTAATATACATGACATTATTTATGTGTAAGTATAGGTATAGTATATACAAGGTCTATCTGATACTCAAACATTAATCAGTCATTGTTTACTAGTTTTTAATGGTTGTGGAATTAAATAGGTATATTTAAAAAAATGGAAAAATATATGTAATATAACAATAATTACAACAAAAACTAAGTTAATGACCAAGTTCAGTGACAAATTTAGGGAGAAGCCAAGTGGACTATAGCTCTATAGCTCTGAAGCCCCTAGTTAAGTAAATATAAAAATAAAATTTAATTTAAAAATATATTTAATATGGAACTTTAGTTTTGTATTTAAAATTATATTTTAAATAAAAAAAAATAAAAGTTATTTTAGTACTTTACATTTAATGTATGTAATATGTGGCCAAATAAACGAACGATAAATAAAAAATATCAGAAAAGTTTTCATGCTATTGTCTAGAGTTTAGACACAATTGCGGAGTACGTTTATATGTTAAATTATTATTAACACGGCAGTCAACAATTAACAATGAATTTTTGTCAAAAATAATTAGGTTAGTTTAGATTAGTAACTTGGGTAAACGATTGTCTGCTTACAAATTGGTTAATAATAGGTTGAAATTGTTATTTTTATTATTAATTTAAGTTTTAAATTCTCAGTAATACATTTTATCACTAAATAAATTAAATAGGCAGCATATTATAAAAAATATTAAATGTTTTAAATTATCTAAAAATGTTTTGTCCTATTAATTTATTTTAGTCTCCCACAATATATTCCGCCCACAGGTCACTGTATACTTAAATCCGCCTTTGACTAAATTTTATTTTATATACTAAATTTAATAGTACAGGTACTGAAACTATGGTTAAAATTATAAAAGATCAATATTAAATTTAATTCAAGTATGTATTTTACCAATGTTATTGTATGTATGTTATTTATTATTAACTTTTTTAACCTTAAACAAAATTATTTATTGACTTATTGCGCATTATTAATTATCATATATACATTTAAATTAAATGTTAACTTTTTAATTGGAATATACTATTTTTTTTTTATCATTGACAGTAATTACTACTATACACTGAACCAATGATAAACCCCAATATATTATACAGATGTAGATATTGATAATTTGAAACATAATAATAATATGTACATACAATTAATATACTTTTGTAAGCATTATATTAGTAACATGATTAATTTTTACTATAGTTATTAAAATATATATATTAACTTGAGTTATACCACTTATACCACTTAAAAAATTTAACAAAAAAAATGACTGTTCAATTAAAAATTGGTAATGAAAATATTCCAATTAACATAATATGGTTACGTGATAATTGCAGGTAAAAATAATCATTAGTTGAATTATATTTGGTTTTAATAGCAAAAAAAAATTCTTATAAATATAGTTTTACTATGTTTTTTTTTCAGGTGTTCAGAATGTTATGATCATGATTATAATTCTAGAAAAACAACTACTCAACAATTTTTAAAAACAATTAATATTAAAATTCAAGATTACACACAGGCAGATAATAATTTATGCATAAAGTGTTAGATTTATATATACATAAAATATTTTAAAAACTTCCAAGTTTTAAAATGTAAATATTTTTTTTAAATTATAGGGTCTGATGGTCATAAATCTGAATATCATACTAAGTGGGTGATTGACATATGGACAAGAAAAAAAATAAAAATTGAACCAAACTTATGTTTTGGTGAAGAACTTGAGAAACTACCTTCAAAAGTGTCTTATAACAATCTAACATTAAAAGAATGTCTAAAAGAATTGATGGAATCAATTTTAAAATATGGTGTAGGAATTATTACAAATGTAAGTAAATATTATAAAATTATAATCAAGTTTTATTTTAATAAAAGTAAATTGGTAACATAAACTATTAATGTAAAATTAATTTTTTATAAATAATAAAAATATAATTATCTAACTTCATAAATATTAGATGAATTTATAAAATAAAAATTGAAACTTCTAGTTCCTATGTATATATTTAATTAGTAATTAAAATGTAAAATTTACAAAGATAATACATTTTTTTTTTTTAATTCATGAATTGACTTAGTTTATATTGCAAATTGTTATATTTATTTAATTATATATTTAAAATCATAAAAATGATTTTTATTTAAAGTTTAAAGTTACAATTATTATTAAAAAAAATTTATTCAGAACTGATGAGTTCGTCATAACTAATTTTCTATTAACCAAATTATATTTTTGAAATTAAATATGTACTTAATAGCTAATTCTAAATAATTACCATAAATATATTCATATTATAAATTTTTTAGCTTAGTCCAAATTGATAAAATGAAAAAGTTTAACATAAGAGGAAGAATTTACCCATATAAAAATAAAATTATAATTAAATATTTTTTAATAGGTACAGTAAAATTAAACTGTAATACATTTAACTTTCTGGTACTGGTTTGTTATAGCCCTGCCATCCATATAACAATTAACACATCGTATAAATATAAAATAATGAGTTTATTTATTGATATTTATTAATCTAATAATTTGATGATATAATATGAAAAAAAAAATTATGTTAAAAATGTATAAATAATGTATATAAAAATGTTTATGGTTTCTATTATTCCCAAAATTCCACTACATCTTTTAAAATGGTGTCAAACTGATCTCTGTTATTTAGTTTTGATTGTTACATAAATTTCGCCATGTAAGAGTCTAAAAACTTTCTGTCTGTTCCTCTACATTTTTTGTTGCCTTGACAGGTTGATGATTATTAGGTACCCAATTGTAATGCTACATAATATGTATTTTTCATCGAATTATTTTATATTTATAAGATGTATTTATTGTTATATGGATGGGGGCAATATAATAAACCTGAGTGGCAGGGCTATAAAATTTTCACTTGCCGTGATAGAGCTATAACAAACCTGTACCAATTTTCTGACATGACTAACAATGACAAACACTTTAATGGTACTATTAATAAGTTTATTTTACTAATTTTAGTTTTAGTTTTTTACCTTAATAAATTATCTAAAATCTTAAAAGAAAACTTAATAGATAAATTATACCAAAACCATGATTTTATTACTAAAAGGGTTAAAAGACTAGTATATGTGATATCAATATATATGTATACATCTTTGTATAAAATACTGAGATTTCCAGAGGATAAAATGCTTCTGTACTCTGTCCAGCGAGAGAACACGCCAGTAACTTGACATAAATTGGTTATACTGCACATCATTGTGCAATATTTCACCATAATGGCATTAGTAGAACTAGTCTTGATGATAGAGTTACAAGTGAGTATATGCAGAATCAGCATGTTCTCTTGTAGGACAGAGCATATATTATATTATATCAAATAATGTAGAAATGTATTTCAGACTATGATAAAATTATCAAAATTAATTATCATAATTTTTGATTATTTTAATGCCTAAAAATAATTGTATTCTTTAAATTTATTATATTTATTTAGGTAGAACCAACATTGGAAGCTACAGAGAAATTGGTTAGATTCATAGCACAACCGCAAGAAACTGTTTTTGGAACAATGTGGACAGTTGGAAATCATAAAAATCATAAGGATCCATCGTATTTAAATGGTCCATTAATAGTACACAATGATAGCACATATTTTAATGAAAGTACAGGGTAAAAATATGGAATGAATAATCATAATATTGAAAACTTAATTTTTCTAATTTATATATATACATAACCAAACATAATATCATATTTTAGACTTCAAGTATTTCATATGTTTGAAAGGGATATCAATGGTAAAGGAGGTTTTAGTACTATAGTTGATGGGTTTAAAGCAGCAGAAATATTAAAAAAGGAAAATCCATCACATTTTAAAAATCTTACTGAAATTGAAATAGAATCTGAATATATAGAACCTGGTTTTCATTATAAATGTAAAGGGCCTGTTATAAAAATTGATCCCACAACAAACGAAGTATACCAAATAAGGTAAATTATTTAATTTTTTATTTAATATTATATAATTGAGTAATAATAATGGTGGTATTGAAAAAAATAGATTCAATATATACGACCGCAGTCCACTACCACCATCTCGCGTCAATGAGTTTTACAAAAGTTATGCTCATTTCTTAGAAATATTGGAAAGAGAAGAGATGTGTTGGAAACATTGTTTGAAACCGGGAACTGTTATTATTTATAATAATTGGAGAATATTACACGGTAGAACATCTTTTACAGGAAAACGGATTTTTGGTGGATGTTATATATCAATGACTGAATTCTTAAGCAAAGCAAGGATATTACAATTAATATAATATTTATCAAGGCATAATAATATAGTCAAATTTTCTAGAAATAAATACTGTTAAGTGCAAGCAAATATTATATTATTAATATTGGTATACTTACAGTATTGTTATTGTAGTATTTTCAGAGAATGTAGAATTATACTGACATAATAAATAGAAATTTAATTTCTAATAGCTTGTTGTCATAAACATATACGAATATAGTATTACTTTATTGTAATTAATGGTTAATTTTTTAGCTGTAAAAAGTCATTATCAATGAGTAAAATAATAATAAAAAATAATTTTGATTAGTGAATACAGTAATACCATTAACTGGTTAACTTTATGACGCCAATATTTAACAATTATCATTTAATATTTTAATTGTATTTAAAATTTCAATCAAGTCGGTTATTTACGACAATAGTATTTTTTACAATATCTCGGATCTAGATTTACGTTATCGATAGTATAATCACAAAAACCTGTAAACATCAAAGTTTACCCACAGTTTGCTTTCAAAAATTACAAAAATGCTTTCAAACAATGTGGCCATTTGTAACATAAAATGAGAAATAAAAATGGTTTTGTAGCAGGACAACACTGGATGCACTTTAGCCCCTTATCAGACTTTCCTAAGCGTCATGGCGTCATACCACAGAATAACCAAATGGGACACTTTTTGAGTTTAACGCGGGTTCTTATGGAGTACAGATTTGCAATACCTGTTTGAATATCAGTGTTAGCGGTAAAAAGACATTTCCCATTATTATATTTTTCTAGCGAGTCTGTTTTCCAAAAATTTTGCAGATCATTAAAAAAGTTTGTATGCAAGCATTGGAAAATCAGTGTTACTAGACAAAAATAATTTTACATTTTTGATAAATTAGTGGATACACGGATATTCCAAAAAATAGAACAGTTTTGAGTGCTCAAAGAGTCCTTTCTGATTATTTCGTGCCCTGTGGTCAATACTCTATAGTCTATGACCTATGCGTCATACACACTTAAATCATAATTATACGATCATATAAATTATCATCCAAGCATGCATATAGATATTTTAATCTATTACCTATGGTCATACATAGAGTAATATTATATATTATAAATTATTATATTTCTTATATAATATTATTTCATGGTATCATAACAGACCTTGTACTCACGAACGGAACTAGGGCATTATAACAAAATATGATAAAATATTATAATACCTATTTAATATTTTCACAATCTATTCTATGGAATTCATTTTAATTTAACTTTATACAATTTATCGTCAGATGAATGGACATTTAAAACAATACCTATATACCTGTATTGTTTATTAAGGATTTTCTCAAGCCCTATTTTTATGTGTAATACGACATACAATGTGCACCACGAATGTACAAATGTGCACTACGATTTGAACGTGTATGAACTACGGTCTATAAAACAAAAATTAAATAATATACCAGCTACTAGAAAATATGAGTATTTCCTGAATTTTTTAAATTTGAATTATACTGAATTATAATTTCTTTTTATTAATTTTCAAACATTGTTATCAGTTAAAAGCATTTTGTTGTTTTATTAAATCATTATATATATATATATATATATAATATTTCTTTTTCCAAGACAGTAGCAAGAATCAAATTTTCGTTTAAAGCAGTAAAATTAAGAGTGTGGTCCAAAATTTTACAAATAATAGGGCCTGGATTTTCCTGTTGTATTATACCAAAATGTATTTTTACTATTTTGGATTTCTGTTTGAAACAATAAGTAATATAAAGATTTTTTATTTCTTATGGCTTTATACAGAACTAGTTGATTTTGCACAGCGTTGTTTGAGACAAATTAAATGCCTATGGATAAACGTTAGATGCCTAATACACGATTTCAAATTTAATTTATAATACTTACATATAAAATCGCCAAAACAACATACAAAATAAACAAATAGATATAATACTACTCGTATGCTTTCTTATATTTTCCATCAAAACAAACATTTATCAGGTTTTTAGTTGCAGCTTAATTAGCTTTAAATTAAAATAATTTAATACTTAAATAATTTCAGTAATATAATATAATACCTATAAGATAAATTTGTAGAGTTTTGGAAAAAAAAAATTACTATATTACTTTTTTATTTATTTCAACGTATCATTGCTATTCTTAGAAGTCATTATACATCCGTATTACCCCTTATTTTATTTGATTGAATATTTAACAAAACGGGTAGAACACGATTGAAAACGGTACTTTTTTTAATATCACGATTGAAAACGTTTTTACCTACCAACTTTTATGCGACGTTGCCGCAGTAATTAAAAATACAAAATAGAATTAAAATATACAGATATCAGTTATTAGACGAATGAAAAGTGTTATCCATTTTCGTTAATAAGCTGGCACTACAGCTATTATTGAAACATTTCCATTTCATTAAACCATTTTTGCGTTGTCTTACAAATGAATATTTATCATTATTTAATACTGCAAGATCTTTTCCGTGTTTAAACGTTATAATTTTGAAATTTTCCATTATAATTAATATTACATTATACTACACATATTATATACACTATATTATTACGTTGTTACCGCTCTGTCCACCAAACAACTGGATTTGGCGGATACGTAAACTATCTGCAGATACGTAAACCACGATATCGTATTTATTAACTTTATTACTAAACATTAAGATAAACGACAACAGGAATTCGAGGCCTAACTCATATGTAAACTATTTTTTTAATTATCGAACATTTTATTTCGGGACGGCACTGAACGGCAACGTCGCTCTAAAAATCGTTCTCAATCGTTTGATTATAAGGTACAAAATATTGTTTCTTTGATCTGACGCAATCGTTCTCAATCCTGTTATCAAAAAGGTACAACGTACCGTAACAAAACAGCTTTGTTAAATAAATTTGCATGATTTTATTACAAAACATAGTATAGGTGATCATAATACTTTTGGCATTACTTATATGAAAGTAAAATTTTAAAATTTATTATTAAGAAGGTTGGAGCGTAGAATGTTTTTAAGAATAATATTTAGGTACCAATATTAATATGTGACATTTGTCATTTAGGTTGTATCGATGTACGAGTAACGATATTTTATTCATCTATTGATATTTATGCTCTTCAATTAGACGAGTTAATCTAAAAATGAATCATGCGATACATTTCCTTAATTTCCAACTACCTATAGTTAGTGGTTCAATATTGATCTGTAGTCAGTGGTTTGACTTTGACAACAGTTTTTGTGCGTTCAAACATTTTAAAAAGGCAACAACGTTGTTATGATTTTCAATTTTTCTCATATTTTTTTTTCATATTGTAATTTTTAGTATATTGGTACATCCTTGAACTAATATCAGTAATTTGTTTTTAAACGAAGAGAGTCAATAACTATCCAATAAAAAATTATTAAAATATATCTGTTTTTCGACAAATACACGTCTGTTGGAACGCATGTGAAAATTCTGAAAGTAATTGTACTGACCGTAGGATTCCGGAGTATAAAGTCACACAGGGTCATTTATCAAAATTTGTAATGTTTAACGAATACCTAGTGCCTTACTAACCTAAGTATAATGTTCGAACGCGGTACGGTTTGCCGCCAAATAAGCTTTGTTGAGATACTATAAATGTGGCGGATTGATACTATACAGTCCTAGCAAGCTCCCTTCTCCAGTGATCGGCGACACCAGACCGTCAGCCATTGTGTCGGCCTACAATTTTATATATCTTTTCGTTTTTTCAGTTTTTTATCTTTTTCCAATGGTCGAATTGAACACAACGTCGCGTTCGTTCGTCCTTAAAGATTACAGTGGGCCATGTTTTAGAACAAAAAATGGTAAATGAATTAAACTATGAATATTGTAATTGATAAATGTTTGACCATACAGAGTAGTATAATCTTTTACAAAAGTATCTAATAATATTTTAACCTAACCTTTTGCATTTAAAGAAATACGTGTTTCATATTGTGTAACAAGAATAAATTCTTATTTCAGTTACCAAATGTAAAAAATGTACCTACATAAAATTTTTTTTGCAACTTTTCTTTTAAAACAATATGACCATAGTACAACAAAAAACATCTCAATTCTGTAGCCTTCCAAAAATAAGTCTAGAAAATTTAGACGGTACATATATTTTTAAATTTTAAATATTGTCATTTATATCATTTTTTGCTTCGTCCAATATAATCTTACATTTTTTTTACCTTTCACCTAGAATTCTATTAGTTTTTTCATCACCTCAATATAAGTACAGTGCATATTATCAAGTGGCACGTTGTCTATTAAATTAATTGGCAATATTTCAAGTACACTAGGCCCTTTAAGGTGATATTCGTTTGTTTTATTTCTAAAACTTTCATTCACAATATGTCCTATTGTAATATTAAATAATTTACCATTTATTTGAATTCCTAGCTGTATAATAATTAAAATATTAATTAAAAAAATCAGCAGAAGAGTCAGGTTTTTTTAAGCCGTGATAAATACCTACTGGTTTTTACCACTGACGCGAGAACACGATTCCTCGAACAGGCAAAAATCAACAGGGATCAGCTTCTCACCAGGTTTGACTTCATAATATCCCAGAAAGAACAGGACAAGAGGGATGATCAAGCCGCAAACCGTAGAGCATGACAGACTCCGGCGCGAAGTTCAGGTTAACGAATGGTACGATGCAGACATACTATGGCACCATGAGCGGGACGGACGATCACGGCAGATCCTGACTCATTCCACGAACGAGACTCGAAAGCGGCGGGCTCAGGCCGGCTTGAGAAAAGGCTCCTGAACTCTTGTCGATCCGCCAAGATGTAGACGCAGAACGTTGGCGGAAACAAACTATTTTCATATAATTATCTGTACGGAGGTTAGATGGGGGATTGTCCCATCAGCCCTTTTTTGTCTGTTATATTTATTGAACTTGTATTGTAATAATTATTTTTTTAATAAACGATGGCGGCATCGCGGACGTAATACGAAAGCAGTCCTCGCGGCACCGTCGGTTCAAAACGAAAAAAATATACCTACTGGTAAAACATATCTCGATAATACTGGAATATTACAATTAATACTAATTAAAATTAGTCAGAATTGATTTTTAGAACTCTTCGATATTGGCAAACCATTTACATTTACACCTAAGTAAGTCAGTTTTATCGAGTAAATCAAATTCATACTTATGTAATAGAGAATTAATAATTTTTTAAATATTAAAGTGTACATAAGCGTCGGGTTTCATAGATAAAATGTTATGCTTTTTAGGCTTATTCATCAAAGTTTTATCATCTTTTAGGACATTCAAACCATCACATTTTTAAAATAGTTAATAATTTATTTAAACAATTATGGGATATATTAAACTCTACATTTCAAGTTCTTAATTTATCACATATACTCACATTATTGTCATTTAAAATAGGTAGTACAAATGTACAATCAATATTATTCACAGTTTCAATTCTTAAACTATCAGTTAAGTGCAAAGATTCTTCACAATCCATAAAATATATTCCTATTTATATGCTACAATGTAATAATTACTTAAGTTTGGTATTTTCTTGAAATAGATGTACTTAAATATCTAAGTACCTATCTAAGTATTAAATATCACGAATAAAATCATTTACGTAATTTGCTGATTTTTCATTTTTTTTTTTTTTAAATTATTATTTTTTATATTAGAAGTTATATCGAAAAAATAGTAAATAATGAGTAATTAATGAGAGAATTGAATGTAAGTAACTTCCAGCATTTAAATTTTTTATTTCTAATTTTAACTTAGCACAAGCCAGTGGCGGCGCATTAGGGTAGACTATGTCTAGATAATGAGACATAGTCTACCCAAAAATCCCAAAAGGCAAAAATATAAAACAATTTAATTAAAAAAATTAGTTATTTATTATATGATACTATACCTACTATATAAGTATTTTATTTGTTCATAATTTTATAAATAAAATGTTATTTACACTGATTCGTCTCTACAGTGTCTGTGTGAGTAACGACTAACGAGTATGACTAAATATATAT